GGTTCCATCAAGACGCTGAAACTTATACCCTCTCAAGACCATGTAGTCGCTCAGGATATCCAGCATTTTAACCATCTGACTGAAGATCAGGACTCGGTGGCCGTCCTTCCTGAGCTTCGTCAACAGCTGGTCGAGAAGCATCATCTTTCCACTGCTGGCAATCAAACCCTTGATCTGGTCTTCACGACGGGTACTGCCGGCCAGCACTCTGTCTTCGGCACCGGCAAACATGTACGGATGGTTGCTGACTTTTTTCAACTCCATCATGATATTCAATAACGAGTTCTTCTGGCCGGTCGCGTCGGAGAGAGCAGCATAGTTTCTGGTCAAGATGTTTTTGTAGTACTCCAGCTGGACATCGGAAAGCTCAACGCGAATAATCTTTTCAGTCTTCGGCGGCAAGTCTGATTCGACAGTCTCTTTGGTACGGCGGAGGATGTAAGGAGCGATGGATTTATGCAAATCTTGCAGCTTCTCCTGTGCGTCATTTCCTGCCAAGCTCTCGAGCTCCTCGTCAATGATGACTTTGCCAGGGTTCAAGAAGTCCATGAGTGCCGAAAGTTCAGCCAGATTGTTTTGAATGGGTGTGCCGGTGATCAAGATTTTGCAAGGAATTCCGAAGCTCACAAGTCTTTGATACAACTGCGATTCCTTGTTCTTCAGACGGTGAGCTTCATCGACGAGGAGGGCCTGCCATTTGATTGTTGAGAGAAATTGCCAGTCTTGGAGAATCATCTCGTAGGAGGTAATCAGAGCGTTGAACTTGGGCTTTTTAGGGTTGCCGTTGACGATGAGTTCGTTTTCACGAATGGTATTGCGAGCAGTCTCGTTTCCGAGATACACGACATAGTTCATGTCTGGAGACCAATTGTCGAAGGTATCTCCCCATGCTGGAATGACACTGAGGGGAGCAACAATCAGGAAGGGGCCCTCTTGCTCCCGTTCATTGCGGAGCCAGCTGAGGAAAGAGACACTTTGAACGGTCTTTCCAAGACCCATTTCATCGGCGAGGATGACGTTGTTGGCGCGGGTCCAGTTGAGGCAGAGGAAATTCAAGCCCCTCAGTTGAAAAGAGCGCAGCTCGCCGCCTTTGATGTAATCAGGCTGCGCTTCCAGCTTCGTCATTCTTGTTCGCGTATCCGGATTCGACTCTTTCCGGTCCGATACCCATGAGCGCGAGGATCGGTCCAGATACTGGTCGATCTTGTCTTGGAACTCTGCGTTGATAGCAGATGCGGCTTCCCACGTACACTCGTCGTAGTAGCAACCCTTCCACTTGACGAGATATTCGTCGCCGTCATCGCCGTCTCGCACTGCGACAACTCTGTCTACTTTGGTAAAATCCTCCAACGCCTCTTCTTTTCGCTCGCGCTCCAAGAAGAATTGTTCCTTATTTTCGGGTGCGATGTCATCACCGAATCGGATGTAAAGTTCGTGTTCTACGACGGCTCTGTAGTAGTTTTCGATCCTGCGGTAGCCTCGCAGACCGCGGAGTGTGTCTGTGGTCTCCCAAGTGTCGTGCATATGCGATTTCCCTTGCCACTTAATGTAGTATTCGAAGTCGTCTTTGCCGGAACTCCATGAGAGGTCGAGGTCGTCTTTGAGCTTGTGCTTCAGGACCTTGTCGATGTAGGGAGAATCGTCAACGACGTCTGCAGCATAGTAATTGGGTGTGAGCTCGGACGCGTCTTCATCCTCATCGTCAACGTCGCTCTCTTCGTATGCTCCTTGCTGCACCTGGGCGGCCCGCCTACTGGACCAACGCTTCTCAGCGAAGACCACGTTTGGCTGGGCTTCTCGCTGGCGCCGTGCCTTCTTTTGCAGGCTTTTTGCGCGTGCACCACCGTAGTTATCAGAATCGGAATCGGAGTCGACGGACGGCTGTCGCGCGGGAGTACCTCTTTTCGAAGCTGTAATGCGGAAGTCAGTCTAATGGTGCGGAAGGCATCGATGAGGAGGAGGGGCGTTTTACATTGTCTTGAGGTTTCTACACGTCTTCTCTTGATAGTCCTTCGGTTAGTAGGAACGACGTCGGAATCATCATCAGAGTCGTCGGAAGAATCGACCTAAAATGGCGAAATCGTCAGGAACAGCCATCGAGGCGGGGGAGATTGAGGCACTCACCATCTTGCGCTGCTGTGTTGGGCGAGACTGGAGCAGTGGTTAGTGGAGAGACTCGTCTCATGGATCGCGAATCAACGTACGCTTCTTCTCAAGCCATACAGCTCTGGATTTGCTTTGATGTATTCGTCTTCTCTTGCGGCGACCTTGCGCTTTGACGGACGTTGAGAGTCGTTGGAGCTTGAATGAGCATCGCCAGCTCCGTCACTCTGGACAATGGATGCCGCGTCATCATCCATGTCAAAGTCTGCGTCATCAGAAGCATTATTATCATCACCAGAGCTGTCGCTCTCGGCGAAGTCGGGTGCTCCGTTGATGTATCCGGTCGAGTCGTTGGGATCCGGCGACGGCGACGATGAAACAGGTACTGCGGCATTATCGTGCACATCAGAGAGGTCACTATCGCTCTGGTGACCACGGGCGACTATTGGAGAGGGAGAACCGCCCTGCGGCGACCGGAACCCGTTTGTGGGACCGGGTTCGAGGGGGCTAGACATGACGATGGTCTAAGTCGAGGCTGCCTGCTATAGACGGAACGGCATTAGCCATGTGCCATAACGGTGAGAGGCATGGGTGCAGAAATAGCATAATGAGCCAGCTCTGGCGACAGGATATGTCATCATAGAACGGGGGAAAGCGCAATATTGATGGAGGAGGCACCCTCGTCGCATCGCAAAGACGCGATCGATGGAGACGAGGCTGAAAGTTGTTGGCGGTGCCATTGTGCCCATCAGACGTAATAGATGCGCCGTGGCATGACTCCAGGGCATCAGAATCGTTTATGGGCGCCATCTTCATCAACCAAAACGATTCCATTGGCCACTAAGGTCATGGCCGATATGGATATCAAGATGCGAGCGCGCCAGCTCGAGGCTGAGATGATGGTTCGCGACGGGGATTTGGGCCGGCCGTTGCAAGGCCAGTATGGTGGGTGAAGAGGCAACTTACAAGTCATTAACATGTGGCCCCCAGGCAGCAAGTACCATTGATCTGTATCAGATGAGGTATTGAAGAAGGATATGGACAAGTGACGTTGCGTGGGTTGTCCAAAGCCTGGCGAGTGAAGGGTGGTGGTGGATGGAAAATGTACTGGTGGAGAGGCAGGAAAGAATTGAGGTGGATGCACGGGTGAGGTACAGGTGGTTGTAGCGCTAGCCGCACTGAATCACCCCCGAGAAAAGTGTCGCACGTAGTGGCCTCAGGCATCCGCTGGGGAGCCTTCAGCGAGCGGGCGACCTAGCCGGAGGGCAAGACCGGCAGTACGTACCTCGTTGCTATCGATAAGGTAAGCGTAGTCCGACTCTCGCCGGTGAATGAGCGAATGAGCGAATGAGCGACAGGGGTGGGAGGATGGGGGCCACGACCTCCAGCCTCAGCATCTGGACTTCCATCAGCTCCATCCCAGGCCCGTCAACCGCAACCACAGGCGAGCGGGCATAGTTCACCGAGACTCGGAACCCCGCTAGCGCCGCGATTTCACCGCTCCCGTCTCGTTTCCCCACTCTCAACATCGCAACTCCGTTACTGCCGATCTGATAAACATATGAGAGGCGGGATCGGACAACATAAAGGATCGGCTAGCTATCAGATTTACTTGCCGAGAGTAGAACAGACGTACTGACTCTAGTCTACGCTGTGACTCGATCGGTTGATGCCCACTGGATACCGATTTTCGAGCCTTCGCCCAAGATCAAATCCTAATGTCAGAAAGGTTTTTAGTACCTAGGCAGACAGTCGTAGAATCTGTCCTAGTATGCCGATAGTTAAGCTAAAGCAAAGTTTCAACTGGAAGGCTTGGTTAAGTTCTGAACAGGAATTAGTGTTTCGATGTGTCCAGAATCTGGAAAACGAAGAAGCGAAGACTGCGCATTGATCATACGACTTTCTCTTTCGCGTTTGTCTTTCTCTTTCTGACGGGCCACTCCTTTCTTTCTGCATGTGTTGGTTGTGTTCTACGGAATTCTTGCTAAGCAAACGACAACCGCCCTAGGAGACTGGAATGCAATGGCGGGCGTCTGCGCAGTCATCTTGGACAACCTAGTCGCTATGCCCTCGCTTGGCCAGGGGTTGGTGGACAGCTTCCAGATGGAGCAACGGAGGCTTCAGAAAGCACGTCTTCCGGCAGAAGCTCCAGACTCCAGAGACTCGAGGCAATCGAGTGGATACGTTCTCCATGGTTCGATCGAACACGCACAGTTGGAGAGTGCATACATAAGGTATTCTGGCAGGTATTAGTTGGCATATAGGTAAACAAGCGGTCAACGGTCTTTCGGACGAGTGCGAGTGCATAGGCACATTCCAAACAAGATTGGTGGATGGCACTTGCAGTGGTTGCTGAGCGCACTCTAGGCCGGGCGTTTGGCCTCACCCAGCACAGTGATGTCAGGTGTTCCCAAAGTAGCGCAAGGTACTGTTTCTCGCAATTTGGGTGTCCGATTACTTGGACAGGACCCAAGAACCCTCACTGGCGGGGTAGTGTGGCAGGTAGGGTATCGAAAAGTGCCCCGCCAAAAATTGGGCGATTCACACCAGTGACGGCGCACACAAATTGGATGACCGACTGCTTTTCGCTGCCGCAACCGTGTTTTTGTCTCCGACACTTTGCAACAACACCAAAAATTCTCTTCTTCCGTCATCTCCAGAAGGCCAGGTCGCGACGCCTCGACAATCCTCGCCGCTTTGCCCGGTCCTGCAAATTTAATCTCGTCTCCTCCCAACTCGACCGACCGAACTCTCTCGCATTGCCTCGCTGCGCTACGCTCCCGCCCTCCCCTCCTCTTTTTTTTTATTTTTATTTCCTTCGCGCGCAGAAAAAAAAACTGCCCCACCAACCCTCCCATCGTTAACCCCGCCTCGACCAGTCGGGCACCATCATCACCATGTCGGACAAGCTCACCCGTGTCGCTATCGTCAACAGCGATAAGTGCAAGCCCAAGAAGTGTCGCCAGGAGTGCAAAAAGTCCTGCCCTGTCGTTCGCTCCGGCAAGCTCTGCATCGAAGTCAGCCCCGAATCCCGCATCGCCTTCCTGTCCGAGTCGCTATGCATCGGTTGTGGCATTTGCCCCAAGAAGTGCCCCTTCGGCGCCATCACCATCATCAACCTGCCCACGAACCTCGAGACCCAGGTCACCCACCGTTATTCCGCCAACAGCTTCAAGCTTCATCGTCTGCCCATGCCCCGACCAGGAAATGTGCTGGGTCTCGTCGGTACCAACGGTATTGGAAAGAGTACCGCTCTGAAGATTCTCTCCGGCAAACTTAAGCCCAACTTGGGTCGCTACGATAACCCTCCTGACTGGGAAGATGTCATCAAGTACTTCCGTGGTTCTGAGCTCCAGAGTGCGTGAACCGAGCTCCAGAAACTTGGCCTATCACATGCTGACCCCTTTTTACAGACTACTTCACCAAGCTCTTGGAGGATGACCTCAAGGCTGTCGTCAAGCCGCAATACGTCGACCAGATTCCCCGTGCCGTCAAGGGCCCCCAGAAATCCGTCAAGGCTTTGATCGACGCCCAGAGCTCCCTCGACAACAAGAAGGAGGTTTGCGACGTTCTTGAGCTCAACCATATTATGGACCGTGAGATCAACCTCCTGTCTGGTGGAGAACTGCAGCGTTTTGCCATCGGAACCGTCTGTGTTCGCAAGGCCGACGTTTACATGTTCGACGAGCCGTCTTCCTACCTCGATGTCAAGCAGAGATTGGCCGCCGCCCGTATCATCCGCTCTCTCCTCCGTGACGACGACTACGTCATCGTCGTCGAGCACGATTTGTCTGTCCTGGACTACCTCTCCGACTTCATCTGCGTTCTGTACGGTCGTCCTGCTGTTTACGGTGTCGTCACCCTTCCTCAGTCCGTGCGTGAAGGTATCAACATCTTCCTCGACGGCCACATCCCCACCGAGAACCTGCGTTTCCGCGACGAATCCTTGACCTTCAAGATGGCCGAGGCTGCCGATGAGTTCGCTGCTGAGAAGTCCCGTGCCTTTAAGTATCCCAAGATGGAGAAGACATTGGGCAACTTCAAGCTGAAAATCGACTCTGGCGACTTCACTGACTCTGAGATCATTGTCATGATGGGAGAGAACGGAACCGGAAAGACCACCTTCTGCCGCATGCTTGCGGGCGCACTCAAGCCCGATAACAAGGCCTCAGTCCCTGAGATGAAGATCTCCATGAAGCCCCAGACCATCACTCCCAAATTCGAGGGCACTGTTCGTCAACTCTTCTTCAAGAAGATCAGGGCCGCTTTCCTGTCCCCTCAGTTCCAGACCGATGTCGTCAAGCCCCTGAAGCTGGATGACTTCATTGACCAGGAAGTCAAGAACTTGTCCGGTGGTGAATTGCAGCGTGTCGCCATCGTTCTGTCTCTGGGTATGCCTGCCGACATCTACCTCATCGACGAGCCTTCTGCCTACCTCGATTCCGAGCAGCGTATCATTGCTTCTCGTGTCATCAAGCGTTTCATCATGCACGCCAAGAAGACCGCCTTCATCGTCGAGCACGATTTCATCATGGCCACTTATCTCGCCGACCGAGTCATTGTCTTCGACGGCAAGCCCGGTATCGATGCGCATGCGAACAAGCCCCAGTCTTTGCTGACCGGCTGCAACACTTTCCTCAAGAACCTTGATGTCACCTTCCGTCGCGATCCCACCAACTACCGTCCCCGTATCAACAAGCTGAACTCTCAGCTCGACCAGGAGCAGAAGCTGGGTGGCAACTACGTAAGTTTTATCGTAAAAGAGCGTGGCTCGAACACATTTACTAACTGCGCATGTAGTTCTTCCTGGACGACGGAGACAAGACGAGTTGAAGAGGGCATCCACAAGGATGTTTTTTTCCCTCTGCGTCACAATGCATTCTTTGACACAGGCGTTAAGGGCGTTCAAAAAGGGCATAAGCGGCAGCTGGGGAGGCGCGCTTCCGGCGGTCAGAATCACGGTTTGGGTTTAGAGGAGGCCGGCGCGTCCGAGGACGATGACGCCGAAGGCTAACAACGGCGACGGCAGTCTATCCCCTGTTGTCTGGTCCTACGGAGAATGACGTGGGTTGATCCCGCTGCGTAGGGAAATCCCTCATTCGGGTCCGAGCCACTTCTTCCTCGGCCGGCACATTCATTTGGGACACCCAGACTCTGTAGATTGAGGGACAATGGATCAAGCAGGATGACTGCCGTCAATCTTGTCATCAGCAATGTGCTGTGGCAAGACTCGTGCATATTTAGAACACATATATCACGTAGCAAAATAAGAGGGAACAAAAGACCGTTGTTAAAAAAGCTAAGTACGTTTTTTATACTACCCGAGAAGTGCGCACCTGCAGTTAGGTCAAACAAGAGATATACATACAGACTAAACAAATGCCGGGAATGCCCACTCCTGATGGTGGTAACGGATGAAACACGCGAAGGGCGTACGGCAGAAGAGAAATGCCACCCGACGAACAGCGCGCCGGGAAATGCAGGGAAGAACAGGTGTGTCTGTAGGCGCAGCAGTCATCACGCTCTCACTGACGGCTGGTGATTTCCGATACGTACTCGAAAGTCACTTCTCACGCTGGTTAATTCCTCCTCCGACCCTCGTCGTGACTGGCTCAATCTTCCTCGATTTCGCCTTCCTCGGAGCCAGAGTGGACCCCAGCGTCGTCCTTGTTATTCTTGCCCTTGTCTTCGTTGCTGCTCGCAGCAGCGGGAGCTGCGGCCGGGGGCGGAGTCCTGTTTTTGGTGCGTGTATCACGTTGGGGGGTGCGCTCACGGGGTGTTCTTTCTCTCCTCACTCTCTGAACCAAGGTTAGCGAGTCGTTCCAAGAACATGCTTGCCCAACACAGGCGACGTACCTTTGAATCTCTGGAATCGCGACGGTCATCCTCATCTTCCTCGCGGCGACGCCGAGATCCAGATGGGCGCTCGTCCCCATAAGGGAGCTCATCGTACGATCCCATTCGTCGTCGGTAAAGTCTCTCGCGCTCCTCTTCCCTGTCCCTCCTTTCGCGGTCGTAGTGGCCATCATCATCGCGGCGGGAACGATGACGATCATAGTCACGGTCTCGGTCGCGCTCGCGATCTCTGTCCCGCTCACGCTCACGCTCCCTCTCGCGGCGGGGAGGTGGCGATAAGCGGCGGTCGCGATCCGAAAGAAGGCTCTCGGCCATGGTCGACTTGCGGTGGTTGCGCTCGCGCTCTGCAATGGCTTTACGCCTATCCGCCTCGTACGCGTCTGGCTCTGGGCTACGACTTCGCCTAGTAGCACGGCCACTGCTACGATGAGATCGCTCACCTCTAGATCGGGGTCTCTCACGGTACAGATCGCGTTCGCTAGAGTCGCGGCCACGGCGCCGGCGGCGGTCGCGATCAGCCTCTTCCTCCTTCTCACGGAGTCGTTTCATGTGCCTGTCAAAGGCTGCGATGCGCGCCTCTTCCGAGGTGACTGCCAGGAAGGCAGGGATATCCGCAAGGCGAGATTTGACCTTCTCGTACGTGTCATCCAATGTGATGGGGGGATCCATACGTTTAAAGTATGCCCGGAGATCATCGGCCGCTCTCCGCTGTTGTCGCTCGGACTGGCGCTCCTCCTCGGACCGCTTGGAGGACCGTCTCTCCTTGATCTGCACAAACATCAGCTGCGGCGATAAACGATTGGGTTGAGACAGCCTTACCCGTTCGAAAATAACCATAAGCGTTTCACGATCAATGTTAGCAGTTCGTCGATTCTTCTTGATAACGGCGTGGAACTCCTCAAAAGTAGTCTTGGGGGTGACATCAAACTGCTCATCCTATGAAAGGGTTAGTGGGCCGCACACAAAAACGGAAGACACGGGCAACGTACTTCAAGGACATCCCCCACGTCATTCTTGGCACCGCGGATGGCTTTTTCCTCCTCTTCAACGAGGTCCCAAAATAGTTCCTGGGGTGTAGAGCCGCCCTGGCCGGCTATGTTCTTGTAGCGATCGTCGTTCTCAATGAGGGGGTGAATCAGGCGCCACTTTGTGCCGGCATTGATCTTGCCGTCTCTCCTGAGCTCATTAAGGAGCGAAAGGAAGGCGTCACGAGCCTTGCGCTCTTTACGGAACTTCTTGTTCTTCTGCTCCTGCTTAGAGTCGTTGAAAGCACGTTCCAAAGCCTTCATGTGGTTTTGGAATGCAATCAGGATGTCAAACTTGCTCAGGGTCATGTACTTCTCATCATTTTGGAAAGGTGCCGTGGATGAAATAAGGCCTTGGGCGTCCGACCAGCGTGTGTAAGGCTCCAGGTTGAGCTTTGGCAGCAAATCAATCAAGCCGTCCATAGCGGTCTTGCGCATGGCGGCCTGGTTCTCCGTGTGCGCCTTCTTGAGTTCGATGATGTACTCCTCGAAGAGCTGACGGCGCTCGGATTCGCTATTGGTAGACCGGAAAATGGTCTCGCCTTCGATCATGGGTCGTGCCGTCTTCCACCGGGTGTAGTGCTTGATCTCGGGATGACGCTTAAGCATGGTCTCGAAGTCAGTACGAAGCTTCGTCAGTCTCTCCTTTGCGCGCTCCTTGTCTTGGACGATCATGTCATCGCAGTACTTCTCGAACGCTGCCTTGCGATCCTTCGGATCCTTGATCGCCCGATACTGAGGGTCCTTCGCAATGGCTCGCAGCGTCTGCTCCCATGTCCAGTCGGTTTGTACACCACTACGCTTCAGCAGCTTAGTGAAAGCAGCTTCGGCTTCCTCCTGCGTAGCAAATTCGGGCTCATTGCTGGCGGGAACGAACGCCTTTGCGTTTGTGTCGTTTCCATACGTCAACTGGCGCGATTCGGGGAATGTTTCACGATCACGGTCACGATCGCGATGGTCGCCACGGTAAGAGTCATATCCGGAGTTGGAGTACCCACCAGAAGGTCCTCCTCGGTCGTAACCTCGATCATTCGTGGGCCTGCGCTTGTTAGCTAGCGACGTGCATGGGGGTGGTTGGTTTGCGTACGCAGATATGGCCGGACCATTGGTAGCTCCCAAAGCGGCCTTATACGCCTCGGGCATCTCCCATGAGCTCGTCTTCGTCTCGGTGTTGTACCAGTACTTGCGACCGCCTTCAGCAGTATACTCCTTCCACGGCTGATTGGCAAGCGCTCTCTGTAGATCAATTAGCGATAGTCACACGTGTCGCAGGTCAATTCTAATACCTCAGCAGGCGTCATCATGTCCTCGGGTTTGGTCCATTGCGTGACCTTCGTCGCGGGGTTGTAATAGTAGGCTCTGCCGTCAGGCGTGCGATGCTCCTGCCACGCCGCGGGCGGCTGGCCGTACGGGCTACCGGAGCCGTTCATGGCGAAATTATCGTCCGTGGCTGATCCGTACAAGATCGGTGCGAAGCTCGACAGTTTCTTGTGTCGATTTTGATGAAGGAATGGGTTTGGAGATGATCTGGCTAGCGTCTCGAGGAGAAGATCAAGTAGGTCGTCACGCGGCAGGTACGCGAGAAAAGGCTGCGAACAATTTGCGAATGCACGGAATGCGCAATTTGGTTCGGGGCACGGACTGGGGTAGCTTGGAGGGTGAGGGATCCACTGCCCGCCAGCATGCTCCGTGTCCCCGCTGAGGTAAGCCAAACAGGGGACCTCCAATCCCATTCAGAGCCAATCAACGCTCTCAATGAGACCGGCTGCCAACACCTCACCTCGATACATCGGAGCTTTCACCGAGACCCTTTACCGCACTGCAACGATACTTGCGAGGCAACACCTCAACCGACTGTCTCTCTTCTAATCGTAAGAAGTAAATCGTGAAGCTACTGCCGTTCAACACCTGAGCTTGACTAAGCAGCCTGTCCGGGCGTCTCCTATACCTCTTTATGCGGACACAGTTGTGAAACTGACCCTCACCAACATTCCACGATTGAGCATGAGAAGCTACGTCTCACAGCACACAAGGTAGCCCGGCATGGCTACGAATGAACACAGGCGAGAGCCTCCCGAGGTGGAAGAATTCATCGAAAACGCCTTTCTCACATACATCATTCCTAAGGCAACCAATTTGAATCTGGAGGAAGCTTTCAAGGACGTTGACGACACCCAAGCTCTATTTGACTCCATTGAGCGAAGGGAAAATCTCTTTTTCGGTGTGTTTCTCTTTTTACAGACTTCAAAGGACTTGGAATAATAACTTGTTCAAGACGAAACGGTCGATGTGCTTCTCGTGCTTAGGGCACCTCTTGTCGACGAAAAGACATTGCGATCTCACTTCAATCGGCTAGCCATCTCACTCGAAACCCAAATCGTCAACAGTCACGCCGCAGATCGGGACCACCCGTCGACAGACATCATTTTCCAAGGCACAATCGAGGACACTTCGGATCCGTTCATCGTCGTTGATGAACCTGACGAGGGAAGCGAGAACAGTAGCAAGGACGAGACCGAGACCGATAACAAAGCAGAGGCCAGAAACAGGCCATTGCATATCTACGCCGTCTGGAAGCTCCCTGTCTTCCTATCTCGCCCTCGTATCCGCCTCCAGGGCCCCTTTGCGGTGTTCAGCGCCTCCGCCGGCCTCAAGCCCGCCTCGACAGCCGCGCCGGGGACCTCCACGCCGGAACGCACAGCAGGCCGCAAGAATGGCGGTGCGTATCTTCAGTCCGGAGTACCTTCGGGTCTCAATCTCCTGGAACCATTCAGCAGTGATCCGGGCTTGGGCGGCGTCGTTCCACGACTTTCAGCCCTGCGCGTCTCCCGAGTTGCCCCAGTCACTCAGCCCAAGGACCAGACGCAACCCCTTCGCGCCCTCAACAGCGTTCGTGTGCGCATCTTCCCGGCAGTTCATACTCGCGTGCGATTCTCCCGTCCAAACACAATG